ATTTACCACATTTAATTTTAAATATTTCTTACTGTGTATACTTATTTACACTATATGTGCAGAATATGCAGAATTCGGAGGTACTTTACTGGAAACATCTGCGAATAATCCAGATTTACATTCCTGCTCGTGAAAAATCTCAGCCGAACGAACTCAGCAATTTTCTGTGTTTAAAATGTTCTCGTTGCTATCGAAGGATCAACCTTTCCAGAATTTGTTAATAATTATTGCATATCTTACTTAAAAAGGTAAAAAAATGCATCCAAAGTGCATTAATACTGCCTCAATATTGTCAATATTAGACGGTATTGAGCAAGTGTGCCAATATCTTATATCAACCTACTTCCTTCTATGCCAAAAATCCATATAAAGGTAACTTTCGGGCATTTTGTACCTGCACTCTAGCAACGGCAGACCGTCTGCACGTGAAATTTTGTTACGCCATTAGCAATGAGTTACCGTATGACTGCCGAGCGGGTACAGCTCAAAAACCGAATAATAGATTTTGATAAGATTATGATAAAGGGCTGCAGATGCAATAAAAAGGTTATGTTCATTATAACCTTTTACCTCATAAAGGCGTGTTTTGAAGGCTTTACACCCCACCCCTTTGTACAAAGTGTACAACATGCGCTATTTAGGCCCCAAACACGTTTTTTTCGTTTGAGAAATGTTGTTCAAAAAAGTGATCACTTTTTCGGCGCCACCCCCATTAAAAAGGTACATCAAGGGGGTTACGCAGGGGGGGGGGGATGTGCCCCCTTCTGTTTGGGGGTTTGAAGTGGGGCAGTAGCCCCTCTAATCGCCGAGAAGACTTGGTACTTTTGGGGGGCCTAAATGGCCTCAGGTCGATTTAAACGTACCGTGTAATAAAACCTAAGACTTTATCTCAATCAATTGAGAAGTTGGTGCACATTGAAATCAGTTTTGATGGGAAAAAACAACGCAAAATAGAGGTTTTTGGCAATTTTGAGACGCCCCCCACCCCGTTGCCATGATAATTGGAAATTTAAAAATGAGCATGCTATTCCACAGGCTATGGTCCAGCTAACATGTGTGCCCTGTTTGATCAGTATTGAAGCATTTTTTATAGTTTCATAGCAGTTTGAACTTGTAACAAGAGGCTTAATTATAATTCAATGAAAACAGCCATTTTTCGCATTATGCTCATGCAGTAAAAGGTTAAGACGATGCCGGCATGCTTGGACGGCATAAGACCTCAGGCCAATATTTTATTAAGTGCGTCGATATGTTTCTTAAGGCAAACTTGCCCTGTAAAAACCTATTATCAATGTCATCTAAATAATTTTTTTTATTCTTGTCCATTTCAGAGATGGGTCTCCTTGATCAAAGTGTCTTGAGACATGTATTTAAAGTTTTTTATCGTCAATTTTGATGGTTCTACCCTGCTTCCGACCCTGCACACACTTAATTTCATCCATAGTGTGATTTTCAACCAAATTGGAAATTAAATCTCTGTATTTGCCCGTAGGAAAAGAACAGTAATAACACTGAAAATGCACTGTTGAATCTGAAATATTTGAATAAATATCATATAAACAGTACATTATCAGAAAAATGAAATTGAATCGATAAACAGACGTGAAAATTAGACAAAAATATCGAGTTTCCATACTAATGTGCTTATTCTGTTTTGCAATACTCTGTACACTAAAGTTGGGCTATTTTGCAATACTCAGTACACTTAAAATCAATACTCGGTACACTGTCTTGTATCTTTTTTGGCCTGTATCTTTTTGTACTTTCACATTTTTTGCCTGAAATTTGGACAAGGCATACTAGGATTGTGAATAAAAAAATTGCTCGATTCAATTTTTTTTATATTGGTAATATAATAATTTCTTTCGATTCTACAGTATCGCGGTCAGTATTTTCTAGTGAGCAGCGGATCGTTTAGGGGTAGTTTAATCAATTTTACAAATACCTGTAATACCTTTACGTCTTTTAGAGCTACAAAAATACCTCTAGATATATAAAACCCGTTTAGATAAATGAATAGCCATTAGTTTGGAAAGTATCGTCGCTGAACTTACCTTCGTTCCCCGTTCAAAGTCGCGAAATGGGATGAAAGTCCTCATAATATCGAGCAATATCCGGGGTACGGTATACCGCAGTGATGCAAACGTATTAAATCTTTGTTTATATCATAGCATAGCTAATTGTGAACATAGCTCATTGTCTTGTGATGTTAACCAGTATAGCAAAGTGTGCTGTAGCTAACTTGTCGTCTGGTTTGTCAATATAGCTAATTCTGATGTCAGGTTTAAGAACATAGCTAATTGTGCCGCGTTCAAAGTGTTTTTTTAATCATTTTGATTTTAAACAATTTCTGTGTAAAGGGCTTTTTTATATCACCAGTGCAGTTTGTGCAATTTTATTTCCAATTATACGGGGAAGTCAAAGACCGGGCCCGCGAAGCGGGTCCGGGCTTTGGCTTGCCCGGCTATAGACTACACGTGTACATTTAAAAGAAAATCAAATAAAAAACAATTAAAAAATATAGAGAATTCTATACCTATCAATGAAATTTTCAGTATCAGTTCTAGTCGGGCGCCGCCATTTACAATGTAACTCAATGATAATAGGCGGGGTGTTCCGATTTCGGAACAAATCTCAACTTTTCGGATAAATGATAATCGTCGAGTGTTCCGGATGAAAACGGAAGCGGTGAATGTAATACCGAATGACACCTTTAAAACGGAAAGAATGAAAGGAATTTTTAACGACTTCCCCGTTCATAGGCATTGCCTAATTTCATATTACATATATAGATAAGTGTTTGTTACTCATCATTTAAGAAATTAAATATGCCTAGCGTGATACAGTACATCGTCGGATACCTACGGCCGAACCATTTACATTTATCAGCCCGATATTCAGTCGTTTAGAGGTGTGTCAAAGGCAGCTATTTCATTGGCTGCCTCACGATTTCATGAGGCGATTAAAACCAATCAAAACGCTAGTTCTATACGACGTTCGGTACGACACGTTAAATTCAGTTTTCAACATCGTAAAATTAAACGATTTCCAGCAAGAAAGTATAGATAATTTACTTTTACAGCGTGATGTTTTCCTGTCTGATTGATATCTGCTTTCAGAATAATACTGATTTGGCGATAGTTTTTGCCCTTGATTTTAGCAAGACACGTACAACAGTGTTTACCCGTGGGCGCTGCCATTTTGTTTTTTATTATTTTTTCCTCCGCTATTGAAGAATATAAATTTGTTAAACGCGATGTCATTGGTAGATATTTTACGCACTTGTTGCTGTATATCGACGCAAATCGATTCATTTTACCCACGGTTGATTGCATGTTATGTGACATGTTTATCAATCGTGGGTATCCGACGATGGGTACAATAGAGCGACATTTATTGGTGTTACTATTGCACGCTGATGTAAACGAATAAAATTTCATGACACGTTTGTGTCGATTTAATTATAATGTACTATTTGTAAAATATCATTTAAATCATTATCTTTTCGTAAACGTGTTAATACAAGAATTTCATGTTTTTTTTAATCGGGACTCGACTCAAGATTCCACTCTTTACCGGTAATCTATGGTCCGCGTACGGAATTTAATCATGTGTCGTTCTTAACCAATTCAATTTTGTAAATGCTTACTAATAAACATTCACCTATACGTAAACATAAAAACTATCCTTTTTATCGCAAGAAACCAAATGTATCTTAATTTATTTTACTTGTAAGTATAGGTTTAAGTTTATTAGTACGTATTTACAAAATTAAATTTGTCAGGCACATCACTTGATGTTTTTGACCATTGCATAAAATCTATCACAAAGAAATCATTTTGGTACCCCATTCTTTAATTCTAAAATTTGACATCTCAGATGACACCTCCTCTTTTTTGTTTGTTGTGTATCCTAAACACTTGTGGAACTAGTCATTTGATTTACATATTTGTTTTTATATAGATTTTATCACAAATATTTGTTAGATAATTTATATCTAGTTTTCTATGGCAAGTTACAGTTTAATGTATTAAATGCACACTAATCCACAAGAATGATATGCCCTATATTCAAGCGATCTGACATTTAACAAACGGTCACAGTTTTGTTTTTTTTTTCCAGAGAAATTTCATTTGATAATTCAAATGTTTTTGATCTCTTATGTTTTCCTGGGCGAGTCGATTCGCATATTAAATATTTATTTTTGTCTGTCTTTTCCGTCGTAAAAATTCTATGTTACAAATATTTTAAGATAAGACCATAAGGTTATGGAAAATTAACACACTTATGTTTTCATTTATTATCATGTTGTTTTCATGTATGAATCACAATCATTCAAGATAACATACTGTTGTTTCATGTATTCATCATAACTTATTCCATTTTAATAATTATTCAATTCTTTTCTATAACAGTAACGTAACACATAATACATAGTTTTTTTGTGTGCAAAATATGATACTTAAATACTATCAACATAATTATCAAGCGTAAATTGCATACTTTCAATAATTATACTAATTCAGTTTTAATCGGGCTTGATAATAATTTAACACTGCATCAAAGAAATCAGGCGTTGTTATTACTTTTATTTTTACTTTGTGTGTTATGGGCCTTAAATGTTTTGTTGTTGTTTTCATTCATAACAATCTACTTATTGTAACGTTTAAGAAAAAAACGAAAACAGAGAAATCATTTGAATATTTTAACAAACAACAATTAAATTTAATTATTCTTCTACACAATTTTCAATGTTTTCACTTTCAAACCTCAAGTTTTTGTAATATAAACTTGTCAATAAGGTATTTAACACGACTATGAAAAAAATAATAGCATTCACTGAGATATAAATATATCCAGCATAAAAGAGATAAGATGTTCGTGGCTGTCAAGGAGGAGGATGTATACAGATGAAGAATGTGTTTTATCAGCCAATGTTCCGCCTCCTCTGCTTACATATTTTGAATTTATTTTTGTTGAATATTTGAACATTGTTAAAGCGTCGGCATCATAGATTGATCAGTTTTGATGTGCGTATTATAATTAAGATAAAAAACATGAATAGGAGTAGATCTTTTCCAGGTAAATATTAATCAATCATCATGCTTTATTTTTCATAAAAGCGTTATGCGAAATCTTTATATATGTAGTTATTTATTTATTTTTAAGTAGCATCACTTCTTTGTGATTTTGAATTTGATCCGTTCGTTGTTTTAGTAATTATATAAGAATTTGAACTGTTTATTTCTAACAATACGTAGGGATAATAAGCAATCATTTTATTTGATAGAGGAAAAATAGGGGAAAAAATAGAGAACGGATAATCAACCAGAATCATTCATTGTCTAATGGTGTGCGTTATCATAAAGATGTTACCGACATGTATACAGCTTGTCTCTGGTAAATCGTCCTCAATAAATTACGAATTTTACATTTATATCATTAGAACTTAAAATTTCAGGACAACCGGTGAGTATTACAACGGCTGTTCAACGATTTAACCGACGTAAATACGGACAGGATGACGTCACTAACTCAGCTAAACATGGTACACAAACATATGCTTCCGGTGGGAATGAATTAAGTCCAGTAGTGTCGGAAAGTACACGACGAAGACAGAAGTTTTCCAAACAGATTCAAAACCGGAACCGGAAGTACAAGGAAACAAAAATGGCGGACTCGTTATCTGGGGCAGATATTCCCAAAATAACACGAGAGCTAACATTTTTCCTGCCTAATTCATGGGAATTTGACAAGCCTGCAAAGGATCAGGAAGATACTCTGCAGAAGCCTGCGCCAATTGCTAATTGTACGGTTCACGTCACAGAAATAGACATTAACATTTCAAAGAAAAGTTGATTATTAATGACATTGATTTGATTTGCATTTGAAGTGTGTTCAATTAACTAAACACTTTTTGCAGTTTTTTTAATGCTATTGAAAGATGTATTTATGTGCTTGGAACTTAAGTGACACAGGGTAGCATCTGTACTTATATTTGAGTTTAATGTTGAAAAACTTGTCGTAACGTATGTTTAGCTTGTTTTAAAGCTGCATGTCTCCAGATGATCCAACATACTTCAATAAAATCAAACTTGAGAAAATTGAACTATGATTTTAAAGGGACTCCACTGAGGTTTTTGACATGATGGGACTGAAATATTTTCCAGATAAATGTACCATTTGATGTAGGTTTAGACCACTAATCTGCGTGCAAAATTTCAGATCATTCGCGCACTTCGTTTTTCCAGAATAATTATTTCTGTTTAAAGTGCCCCAGCTCATTTATGTAAGAAATTCAAATGTTATGTTTTTAGGCTCTTAAACCTCAGTGGAGTCCCTTTAAGATAAGTAAAAAGTTTTAAGTAATAATATGCATGTTATGTACGATTAATGACCTGTTTTGCAGTATTTATCACCATAATTATACTGCGAGACCAGCGCAGAATATTTTCTCTAAAACACTATACAATATGCATGTGCAAACAGTTAAAACTAGTTTATAGATATCTATTTTTAAATTTTTGATTTTAACAATTTAATAATGACTGAACATATTTTATAAATATTTCTCCAGGAAACACTATATCTACATGAGAAAAAATACGCACGTACCATCGACTATTTGTTAGGCAAATATTTACCTTTTCATTTAACCTTTAACCGTTTGGAGTTCTTCTTTCAACCAGTTGATAAAACTTCAGAATACGCGTGTTGTTAAAATAAAAACTGCATATCTTTATGCAACCTTACAAACGTAACATGTATACATTTTTTAGGAATATGTAAAAAAAGAACATTGAGCTATATGTAAATAACAAAACAATAAATTCGTAAATAATAAAACAGGTTTTGTATGCAAATTAAAGGGATGATATCTAAACAACCATAGATGTCAATATGTGACGTTTATTTATAATTGTAGTCGAATACGACAAACATATAAATTGTAGAATATTGTAAACACATTTAACACCATCTTGTGTGTTGTCATTCCAAATTTTTGTAGCATTAAAGCCACAAAGATACTTCTTATCTTGTATTGTCAACTGCCATCTCTAGACCGAGGAGTCATGCTATATTTACCCCTAAATAGTAACGTGTCACGACAAAACCAACATAATGGGTTTGCGACAAGCATGGATCCAGACCAGCCTGCGCATCCGCGCAGTCTGATCAGGATCCATGCTGTTCGCTATCAGTTTCTCTACTTGTAATAGGGTTTGTAAGCGAACAGCGTGGATCCTGATCAGACTGCGCGGATGCGGATCCATGCTGGTCGCGAACCCATTATGTTGGTTTTGTCGTGACGCGGCTCATTTATGGCACATCCAATTATGACAGCGAGACATTCTAATACTGGAAATGCAAGTGACTCATTTATTCACCAGTAAGTCTCTCCTCTTCCACTGGACTTAATCCTCGTCTTAATCCTACTGCCAAATCAATGTACATCTGAAAATATACAACAACATAAAACTTACCTAGTTCAAGACGGAAGTAGCATATTTTTTATAGAAGTAATTTCCATGCTCACAATTCCATGATTCACAAAAAATAGCGTTGGACTGTAAAACGGGCGACCCGGGTTCGATTCCCGGACGGCGTAGGTCACTTTCGTTGTGACTGATCATGAAATCTTTTCTACGGTCATTCGCACTGTTCCTCAGCTCTGGTATACATACAGAAGTTCCAGTTCCTTGCGAAAGTGAAGGCAACTAGTACTGGTAAACTTCTTGACAGCCTGCCCAGGGCCGATGCGGTGGCTGAACTGTGCTCTGGTAAATTCAATGTGGGTTACTGTCGTGATCCGGAGTGATCAATAATACTACTCTCTTCCTCGTGCAGAAAAGTCTCCATATGACCTAAACAGTGTTGGTGCGAAATCGTGAACTGGTAAAGGTGAGACCGTCACTTGATTAAGATAAACTTGCGCATTCATTAAGTCCAATTAACACATACAATTAGCAAGGGATAGATTGACATATTATACATTACTTGTTCTGTTTCTCTCTGTATAATTTCATCTAACCTTCCAACAAGGGTTTTGAACACAGGTCTGTGATCGGGCGTATATTTCCAACATTCTACCATAAGTCTGTATCTGTTTAAATATTCAATACATTTAAAATATGATTCTCCAAAAAAAACATTGAATAACTTTATCATTTCATAAACCTTCTTATAAATGCATACCTTCTGAAGAATACATTATTTTCTTTAAATTTATAACTAGAATAGACTGATGCCAGTTTTTTGTAACGCTATGAACACAAACTATATTCCATATAATAAAGGGTTGATGCACCTTTTTACGTTCTGCAGAAGCACAAGGGCGTACGCATTTAAAGCCCCAGCAATCAAAAAGAGGGATTCAATAAGTTGGAGGGCTTCTGCAGATATTAATGCAAGGAAAGACTGCATAAGCGCTATTCTTGACATGACGCCCTGAGTCACGCATATTAAACAACGTTTAACAACGGCGCGTGTTTTTATTTCTCTCATTTTAATTAAAACCTGTGAGCGCAGTGTGTATGCAAGAACATTTTATAATTTTTCGAATGTTATGTATGACACCAAAGCCTCGTAGTATCAAATAAAATAAGATATAATAGTGGTAAGGCGTCATATATAACGCGAAACACAAGGCGTTTTAATGCCCTTTTAGCGTAATTACGCCCTTTTTAGTACAGTCCCTGAGGACCTTTTGTGTGCAAAAAAGGTCCATAGATAAATGTTATACCAATGTAAAGCTAAATGTTTGAAGTTTACAAAAATTTTGGGTAGACATGTCAAATCATGGTACGTTTTGAGAAATCCAAGATGGCCGCCAAGATGGCCGCCAAATTATTGAAAAACGGCTAATACGCAATTTATATGATAAAATTAGTTCTTCTTGTATTTATTTTGGTACAGGTGATGTTAAAACTTCACATCCTATTGGAACAATATGAAAATGGAGGCATTTCTATTATTTTTTCATATTCTCTGAATTTCATAGATAAATTTGCTAAAAAATGCATGAAAAAATCATCAAAAATTGATATGGGGCTGACATTTTTTCCTACCAGCTAAGGCATAGCGGTGTGAATGAATATTTTTACCATAAACTACAAAGCTTTGAACAAGACCATACTAATATCACCCTTATTTTTTATCTTTATTGTAAAAGAATGTGGATTCTGATATTCTTAAAGTGGGTGGGGTAACGAAAACTAAGTCTCAGTATTTTGTTAACTGGTTTGTTATGATAATTAAAACTATGAATAGTCAACATGTATTGCACTTTGGCATGTACCTAAAGTTATAAATAATTAAGAAACTTAGACTGATATTTTGTTTGTCAATATTCAACATGTTCTGTTGCCATGGCAACGGAGAAGTAAAATAAAAGACACACCTGAAACGTATGACACTTTCAACTTTTAGCATTTTAAGCAAGTTGTTAAGAATGACACAAACTTATAGATAAATAACCTGTGCACAATGCCATAGTAACAAATTGAAAAAAAATGTAACACTAAAAGAAGTCACATTTAATTCTAGCAAATTATCAACACAGATATTTTGAAATTAGATGAATAAATTTATGTCAAGAATTTGCATCATGCATTTGCTTTTTTCAAACTGCTTTACATAGAAAAAGGTCATGTCAAATGTGAATGTTGTTATGTTTGGAAAGGATAATTAATGGTGATAATAATAAGTAAAAGGCAGTCTTAAGGTAGAAATGTATATAAACATTATCGAATGTTTGAAACTGTACATATGGTAAGTATTTAAGACTTTGCAGCTTAAGCGAGAAATAAATAGGTCACTGGTTCAAATTCTAGGTCAACCAATATCAAATTTTAATGAAAATCAAACTTTTTGGTTACAGCTTGTATTATGAAATTCTAACTTGCGTAAGATAAAATTATAGGTCAACTGATCTCAGTATATAATTCTGAATCTGAAATTTTACAATCAAAATACAAACAGATCACTAGAACAAATTAAGGTCAGCTGGCATATTATATTGTGTCTGTAATACAAATTTTTTAGCTTCAAAAACAAGAAAGTAAGTCACGAGGTCTTAAATTCTAGGTCACCTTATAACAAAGAGGAAAACAAGACAATTCTTCCAACCAAATGGTCTTGCATTGTGGTTTCTGACATAAACAGTTTTTTTTATATAAAAATCGACATCTTGGCAGGGCCATTTTTATGCTCCCCGAAATTATGGGGGAGCATATAGTCGCCGGGCGTGTGTCCAAAACCTAGTCGGGGAGCATGTTTCAACTGGTTCTTCTTTTAATCCAGACTCATGATCATTATTTGATGCCTGCAAACTAAGCACTTTACGGAGAGTGTCGGATGTAAAGTCCAGACGTCTCTTGTTCCACAGACAACAATTGATCTCGGACATTGAGTTTTACGGTCATTTGTCTGTCAAAAAAGTTAGTACCGTAGCTTAGTAGAAATTGGTCATTACTCTTCTGGTTATTTATCCATGAAAGTCAGATAGTTCAACCAACCTTCAAGCTATCAACAAAGAAGTATTGAAATTGGCGTATAACCCAGACCCGGCCCTTTCATGATTTGAAGACACATGGTAAAGTCTTCTAGAAATTGTATCACATGCTCAAAACAATGGAGTTAAAGGGATGATTTTATAAAGGATGATTTAATATATAAGTTAGACTATGTAAATCAATTGACCCTTTGGAAAGGTAATTATAATCAAACGGATCATGACTTTACCAAGCTTAGAAGTTGTGTATTATTACTATTATATGATTTATATCGTGACATAAATTGATATGGTCATAGAATGAATGCTTCACACTTAAATATCAAAGCATTTTATTTATGGAGAAGAAAGTTTTCAAAGAATTTTCTTTATAACACAAAGTAAAATGACTTCTGGGGTTAGGTCAACTTTGACCAGATTGTCAAGATTTGAAAAATAAATACAGGTTTTTTTGACAATGCTTTAAACCCAAAATCTAAGATCTGGGCATTTGGTTTTTGGAAAAATATATGATTTTAAAAAGTTTTCCTATGTGTCTCCATATGAAATAAGTTGACCCTAGGGGTGGGTTAAATTTTCATTTGAATAAATTTTGTACTGGTCTATACAAGGCTACAACAGAAATAATAAGCTATAGGCATCAGTTTGGGAGAAGTATTCTGCTTAAGCCTGTACCGTCCATGAACAGGCTCAATCAAACCGAGCCTGCAACATTTTAAATTTTGCCGTGTTGGTCTTTCTTTAGGGATTCTGTATTTATCTAATTTTTTTTTAGCTTTTCCTTTATGTAAATTGAAGTGCCCCTGGCATAAATGAATTTGACCACAAGATCGTGATTTAAGCAAATTTAATAGTATTATATACTAGGTCCTGCAGTTATGGAGAAGAATATTTTCATGTTTTTCCTATATTTACACTGTGTAAAGAAAGTTTACTCCGGGGCTTCGCAAGAAACATGAATGTGTACTTCTTGACCTTTTACCAACCATGACCTTGATGTTGTGTCATGTATATCATAAGCACATAGTCTCACGATGGCGATTATTTGTGCCAAGTTATTTAAAATCTTCCATAAAGTCAAAAAGTTATGGAGAACGTATAACCTTGATCTTGGTTGCAGCGACCTGGATGTTGAGGTCTGTAAATTGTGTCGTGGTGGGGATCATTTGTGCTAAGTATTTTTAAAACCTTTGAATTGTCAATAAGTTATAGAGCGGGCATGAAAAAACAAGTTTTTACATTGGACCGTTGATTGTGACCCTGACCTTCAGGGTTGTGACTTGCTTATTGTGCTCTGTCAATGGTGTCACAATGTTGATCATTTCTGTCAATTTATCTTAAAAACATTTCAGAGGTTTAAAAGAAAGAGACAGATGCGAAATGTAGACTTTCTAATTTATGAACTGTAAGTGTGACCCTGACCTTTGGGGTAGCAATTCAATTATTGCGATCTGCATATTGGTGATCAATTGTGCCTTGCTATTTAAACAAAATTTCATAGGTTTAAAAGTTATGGAGGGGACACGAAATGTAGATTTTTATACATTTGACCTTGACCTTTGGTGTAGCAACCCAATGTTTGCGTTCTGCACATGTTCTTATACTGGTTATCAATTGTGCCAAGATATTTTTTTTAATTTCAGCGGTTAAAATGTTGGAGCGGACACGAAATGTACACTTTTGTACATTTGACCTGAAAGTGTGACCTTGACCTTTTGTGTAGCAACCCAATTATTGCGCACTGCACGTCGTGTCATGATGGTGATCCGTTGTACCAAGTTATTTAAAAACTTTACAGCGTTAAAAAAGTTATGGAGCGGACACGAAATGTAGACTTTTTATTATTAAATGAAGACTTTTAACATTTGACCTTAAATTGTGACCTTGACCTTGGGGGTAGCAACTCAATTATTGCGCTCTGCATATTGTCTCATTATGGTGATCACTTGTGCCAAGTTATTTCAAAAAAAAATTCAGGGGTTAAACAGTTATGGAGCGGTCACGAAAGTGTTATGGACGGACGGACTGACAGACGGAGTCCATTCCTATATTCCCCCTTTCCGCTACGCGGAAGGTGATTACTGATCAACAATGTTGGTTTAGTCCCATCTGAAAAAGCCATACATATAAAAGTTCAAGATCTTTTTATTTATTTCTGGGAATATTTGAAATCATTACGCATTGTCAGTTCTATTTTTAACTTCTGTGACTAAGATATACAATAATCCGATTTGTGCAAAAAACAACAACAAAACAAAATTTCTGTCAAATTTTATCAAATATAGCCTATTTTTACGTCACATCAACACTTTAAAAGGCTTTGTGGCGACTTTCCTGCTTTACTGAGGAAGACCTTTATATGTTTCCCTCCGTGCATTATTTCATAATATTGGCACCTTCTGGTCAACTTTTAAGGCAAATTAGAATTACAAAGTATATAAGAAAATGAAATTTGGCTTATTCAAATAAAGAAAACAGTAAAATTGTTTGTAAAATAAAGAAATCAAAGTCATATGTTCATCCTGATTCCAAATTCAAAAACTTAATCTTAATTTGGAACACACTAGTGTTCATGTGCATTACATGCTACCGGACAATTTGAGAAATGCTGTTTTTCCTCATCTCCAATTACATTGAAACTATGGTTTTCATACTGCACTTTTATAATGACTTATTTAAAACAGAAAGCTTATATGAATTTTGGATACGTTTAGCCGCGGGTTATTTCACATAATTTATTGATATTTATTGGTGATGAGAAAATAACGAAACTGTCACAGTTGATATGTTTACCAATGTCTTTGAGATTTTATTTGAATGTTACCTGTATATCAGTTATAGCTTATTACTACGTGACGACAATTTACATACTTTTTTGTGTGAGTGGAACAAAAATCGCCCCCAAAGGTTTACAAACACATATTTTTCTTATAACTGGTAAAAAAAGGTCGAAAACAAAAGCAAAATTTATCATAACACTAAATTTATTAAGTGCCTTTTTGATATATATATAACATGTTCAAATGCGTTAAAATCAACAAATTTATATCATAGTTATAAACATTAAAAAAGAATACTCGACATTAAATGAAATTTCAACAATTATACAAATCTAGATATGACTATGTAAATTTATTTGCATATAAACATACTCTTAAATTCTTTTCAACGTGATATGAAACAGACCGCCATCTTCTTAAATAGTCACATACTTCTAAAGAACGAAGTGAGACTGCGGTAACAAAACTCATATTATTTACATATCGGAATTACTCATATTGTATAATTACTTTGAGACTTTTAAGTTTTAGTTTTGTGTACATTCTTCTGTAGCTTGTTCTTAATGTATACTAGAGTTTTTCCCCTCTGTATCCGATTTTCAATAGGTAAAACAATGGAGATTCTATACAACGTTTTAGGGATTCTGTTTTTCTCTATTTTAATGTGTTTAAATGGAGGGGTTGTATTTGGTAATAAGACAAGATACCACTTGATGAGCAGTCCGGAGTTTGTTGATGATCATTTAAAACATACTGACCGTATAACAAAGCATTAGGTGGTCTGACATGTAGGTCACAAAATAATTTATAAAGAATTTTGAGGCAACTGTGGAATATGGCCTATTTGTTTTGCGTAACAAGACACCTATACAGGATTTATAATTAATGCTGCTCTATATTTTTTAGAATAGAAGAAAGTGTCAAATATTTAACACAAAATGGTTTCTCAAACTGTTACACTATTTCAGCTAGGCTTGTATTGCATTGAGATGAGAACACAATCATTTAGGTGTTCCAGATGCATCTATGGCACATTATCTTGAAGACGTTCTTCATCACAACATATTGACATATTGTCTATTCCTTCTTATCACATTTGATCTGTGGGATTTTTTTTGCTTTATTTGTTATTTATTATTATTATTTAATGACCAATAAATGAAGAATGTTGAAAGTTTTTTTCTCAAATCGGACCAAACATCAAGCAAAAATTTTATTTTTCAATATAACTCTTAGTAAATTTCATTACACATGTATTATCTTTTGCCTCTAAAACTTTAAGCGTTTTTATTGTTACAGTAACGGATCAGCAAAATGTTACCGATGTTTAAATTCAAATTTGTATTTTTTCATAGAAAGTAAATGTAGTATAATTTGAAATGACTTTTTTATGTTTCAAATGTATCCAATTCTGTAATGCATAATCATGACATTAACTTCTACAACATGCTTGAAATGATAAAACTGAAAGCCTCATACGTTTCCGGGTTTCTCTCATTTTACCACTTTGTTGCCATGGCAACAGAACCAATTAATGTTGTTGATAGAATGAAAATCTACCTTTTAAAAAATTAAAGACTTAAGAACATTTTAAAATGTAATCGTGTTGGTTATTCTTAGTCTTAATAATCATTATATATCAGTTCACTAGAAATTTGGACTCAATTTTCGTGTACCCCACCCATTTTAGGAATGTCAGAATCCACATTCTTACACAATAAAAATAAAAATAAGGGTACATTTAGTATGTTGTTGATCAGGTCTTTGTATAATATGGTAAAAATATTAGTTTTCACCACTATGCCTCGACTGACAGGAAAAAATGCCAGCCCTATGTCGATTTTTGATACTTTTTCATGCATTTTTAGCCAAATTTCTCTATGAAAACAAGAGAATATGTATAAGAAAAAGGAAAAGGACCCTTTTTCATATTGTTCCAATAGGATGTGAAGTTTTAACATCACCTGTACTAAAATAAATACAAAAATGAACTAATTTTATCATATAAATTGCGTATTAGCCATTTTTCAATAATTTGGCGGCCATCTTGGCGGCCATCTTGGATTTCTAAAAACGTACCATAATTTGACATGTCTACCCAATTTTTTTGTAAACTTCAAACATTTACCTTTACATTGGTATAACATTTATCCATGGACCTTTTTTGCACACAAAAGGTCCCCAGGGACTGTACTATTTTCGCGTTACGTCGCCTTTTGTTTCGCGTAATTACGGCTTTTGATTCGCGTGATAACGCCATTATTCGCGTTATAACGCCTTTGCATTTTATTCCCATTTTATTTGATACTATTAGTTCTCGTAGTATGGTATATAAATGTACAATACCAGAGCTACATACATATCATTTGGGCAGAGTGATGGCTGGGGCATGACATATCCTGAATTGTGCATAGATATCAGCATATCCGGTAGTATCCCTGGATACGGACTGCCACCTAGTGTCACCACTTCCCACAGGAGTACACCATATGACCAGACGTCACTTTTAGTGGTGTATCTCCCTTCTATAAGCGTCTCTGGACTCATCCATTTATATGGTAGTCTCCCCTATAAGTAAATATAGATAAGACAAGAATTACGTGTATATATGTGACATAGATATATGATGCAACTATTCCTTTGGCTTGAATGAAATGCCCGTTCACATCGACTAATCTGCCGTTTTAGACACAGTTGGTACGGTCTCCGGGCAAGTAACCATTTTGGATCAAATCCTTAAGATGGATGAAATGGAAATCCGAAAAAACCCCAGCACAGCAGTTTAGATGATAGTGCGGGTTCGGTTTGACCGGCCATTTTCCTGGACAAAAGTGGTAAATGTAAGCTATTGTCCACGCCCCTATAGCACCAATATCGTGAGAATTTACCTCACCATAAATGTTTTAACGTTAAAAATTATAACACTAAACAAATATACATACCGCTGTTTCTTGATAATAATAGTCCGACTCATACACATCACGTGACAGACCGAAATCGGATATCTTTGCAATTGGTCCTTGAGACAGCAAAATATTTCTAGCTGCAAGGTCACGGTGTAAAATCTGCATAAACATGGAATAAAGAAAATATTAAAATGCAAGTTAAAAGAATGCACAAGATCGATCAGTGATCACATATATCGCTAATGCGTAGCAGAAGACACAAAAATCATGAACAGGCCAAAACGCGTTTTTTCTTCTTTTCAAGGACCATAACTCAGCCAAAATCAGTTAAGCCAAAAAAAAAAAAAAAAAAAAAAAAAAAAAATCCAGTGTAATATGCGCAAGTACTTCAACTACCAATCAATTTTGTTTTATTTAACCCATTACGTTATATACACGCCTTTTAACGCCTTTTTAACCCCCCCCCCTTTTTGTTGTCTCAAATGGTGAAAAAATGCCTTATTTAGGCCCCAACCACTTGTTTTTGTTTGAGAAATGTTGTTAAAAAAGTGACCTCTTTTTCGGCGCGGCCCCCAACCAAAAGATACATCAGGGGGTTGCCAGAAGGGGGATGTGCCCCCTTCTGTTTTGGGGGTTTGAAGGGGGGCGGAGTCCCCCTCATCGCGAAGAAAATTTTGGACTTGCGAGAGGCTATAAAGGACCCCAGATTGATCATAAGGTAACGTGTAACCAACGCTGAAAAGCATTTGACTCTATATCAATCCATTGAGAAGTTGCAGCACTTTGAAATCAATTTCGATGGAAAAAATCAACGCAAAATAGTGATTTTTGGCAATTTTGAGATGTCCCTTCGTTGCCATGGTAACAGAAAATTTTAGCCTGAGCATGTTGTTGCAAGGGCAATGGTCCAGTCAACAATTGTGCCAAGTTTGTTTAGTGTTGAAGCAGTTTTGATAGTATTATAGCAATTTGAACTTGTAACGGGAGACTTTTCAATGAAAACAGCCTTTTTTCACAAAATGCTCATGAAGTAATGGGTTAAGTTGTATAAGAGAAATAGTCCGGGCAAAACATTAAAAACTAAAAATCTTTTTAGGGCCATAACTTTAACAAAAAATCACTGAACTCAATAGCAGGCGACAAAAATGTATAAGGATGAGTAAAAATACCCCCTTACTTACTTTATTTCACTTAGATAGAGTAACAATTTTGACATTAAATAGACAAGTACGTAACACCCAAGTATACCTTTAGAGAACTTAAATAAGCCATCCCCTTCGCTATATGCCACATAAACATATAGAGCCGGGAACATTGTGACCATAGATATGACCTCTCCTCGGAACAATCCAGGTTCTGTATCACTGTCCGATTGGCTTCATAATATGTCCTCAAAAAGTTCTTAAGATCGCCATCCTCTGCAAGTTCCATCACTATTGCACGAGACCCTGTAATTATTCAACATGCAAGTTGGCCCTTTTTTGTCCCTTTTTTAGCAGTGAAAAAAATAGCCCTGCCTTTTTTGCTAGGTCGTCTGCTCACAAACAAAATATGAACATTTCCGGTGTTTAGAGTTTTATGCAAACTGGCTGACAGACTATCAAAATGCTATGCTGACTTGGTTTGCATTAAACGCCTTTGGTAGAAACAAATTTCACTGCTAAAAATCGGAAACGTTTAGTTTTAGCAACTTTTATTGAATGTTATCTACAAGGATTATAAACATCATCATTCTAATACTATACTTGAACTAGTAATTTCATAAATATATTTTGAGGGAAGCGATAGCCTTGTATCATGTCCTGGTATCGAACCATAAATAATTTGTTATCGAGTCACGACCATAACTTTTCTTATGACACAACTACTGGTTAGTTTTATCGGACTAGTACATTATTGAAATAATTAGCAAGAAAGCGTTACACATTCGACTTTTAGCTTCAGCTTAATGTATTTTCTTGCAAAAAATGAAGAGAAGTACACTATGAATTCAACTTGGTTTCTAACATGTATGTTTTCATATAATCACAGTATTTTACATGTTTTAAACATTTTATTTCGCTTGCATCTATTATAATTTAACTCGTTTACGAACTACAAATGTAATAATATGTATAATTATTCACCATTGATAATACACGATCCATACACCTCAACTATATTTTGGTGGGATCCAACTTTCTTTAAATTTTCACATTCCTTCATTAAACTTTCTGTTTCCGTTGGATTTACATTATCTGAATTGTAAAAAGAAATTGCATCATACATGTACATGCAGAAAGTGGGATCGGTGGCCTAGTGAGTGAGGTCTATAAATCTAAACCCAGGGGTCGTGGGTTCAAGCACTGCTAGACTCACGACCATGAATTCTCACATGACACCGGTACCGGTTATTTCTAGACAGCGGACTCGAGACTGGTTCAATAAGATACACGTATTTCTTCACAATCATGCTTTGATAAAAAATTAACATACAAAAAGACATTTTTGTTAATACGAACAAGTACCTGTTGGGGGTGTTAATGACACCAATATTAAAGTATTGTGAAGACATACCTTCTGAATTATTGGTGGAACAAGAATGTCAATGTGTCCTCTTGTAGAAAGACAAAATAGAAAGGGTACCATCAAAGTAATTCATATCATTGTTTTCTACAACTCCACACCGGCTGATACAGAAGGTATTTTAACGCATTTTTTTCACAAATTAATAATAGAATCGCAAACTGATGCCAAACATTTTCATGATAAACACAATATCAGCCTTTATTAAATTTATCTCTTCATATTTACAATTTAAATGCACATATTTTATATACCTCTAATTCTTTTGATGGCAACTTTTCTTCCAACATTGTTAAAACCAGTCTCGAAACCTTCATATACTTCACCAAACGCCCCGCGTCCGAGAAGTTTTACCAGACGAACTTTACCATACACAGTCAGTTCTGTAAACCCTACATCCTGTAATTATATACTGATTGTAATAATTCACAAAAATCTTGATTTGATTGTCTAAATCTTGTAGCCAAAAATAGAATGTTTCATACATATATAGCCCCTCAGAGCTATAAAAAAGTGTCACCTCTCTCTGTTTAAATAACCATCAGGGGCTTCCGTGGATGAGTGGATAAGGATGCCGACATCAAATCACTTACGCCTCACCGTTATGGCTTTTATTTCCATCCGGGAGTTTGGATTCTTTCATAATGAATTTTACCGAATGTGGTTCTAATGGGGTGCCTGTTCATGCCTGGAATAATGCACGAAGAGCACCTGAGGTCTTCCCCAATCATAAAAGCGGGAAAGTTGACAACATTTAATGATCTTAACAGTGTCGGCGTGGGCGTGACTTAAAATCCGACAAAAACAAACCTTCCACACGTGCATATAGTGCATGCAATGAGCTAACAAGTTTTTTCTCCCAAGGTATAGCCTCGCTTCGTGTTTGAATGTTTGAAAAATGTAGATGCAATTAAAATAAAGCAATTACACTGATATTTTCTTTGAAATTTACACTTTTTTCGTTACTTCATCTACTGTTATTGAAGTTGATTCTTGTACTAAAAACATACTGTTTTCTGCATGTCTTGTTTTACTTGGTTTCCATAGAAACGTTTAGGTGACAAGGACATTCCCGAAATATCTGTCACTGATTGTGCTCGGTAGTAGTGTCTGTTTGTCAACATCTGAAGAATCAAATATGAATTTTTTGCTGATTTTTTTAACATTATTTGTGTTGTAGGATTTGGTACCGATTATATATGGCATTGCTGTAATTATGTCACTGATGTTCATTTTATGGGGCAAACAAATAACATTCGTAGAATAGTTCTTACAATTAAAGAACAAAACCATTTTCTATTCCTAATAAACAACAGTTACTTATAAAGTTTTTAAACTTCGGTTACTATAAAATCATTTACTTATAAATCCAACGGATTGTTCAACCAAAGTTACTTATAAACTACATATTTTATGAACTAACGTGACTTACAAACTTTGGTAACTTGTAAACCTCAGTTACTTATAAACTTAAGTAACTTATAAAGTAACAATAACTCATACATTTCAGTTACTTTTAAACTTTGGTTATTTATAAATCTTAGTAACTTATATACCTCAGTGGTTACATATAAAGCTGAGGTACTTATAAACTTCAGTTACTTATCAAATCCACAGTTGCATAAAAACCACAGTTAATTATAAATGTTGGTTACTGATTAACTTCAGTGATTCATAAACTTCAGTAAGTTATCAAAAACCTCAGTTATATATAAACTTCAGTTACTTAAAAACCTCAGTGGCTTGTAAGCTTCAGCTGCTTATAAACTTTGGTTACTTGTTATTTTCAGGTATTTATAAACTTCAGTGGCTTTTAAATTTTGGTTACTTGTAAACTTCAGTTATCTCTAAACTTCAGTTACTGGTAAACTTCAGTTATCTAATTATCTATAAACTTCAGTTACTTGTAAACTTGAGTTATTTATAAACTTCAGTTACTTGTAAACTTCAGTTATCTATAAACTTCAGTTACTTGTAAACTTTAGTTATTTATAAACTTCAGTTACTTGTAAACTTCAGTTATTTATAAACTTCAGTTACTTGTAAACTTCAGTTATTTATAAACTTCAGTTACTTGTAAACTTCAGTTATCTATAAACTTCAGTTACTTGTAAACTTGAGTTATTTATAAACTTCAGTTACTTGTAAACTTCAGTTATTTATAAACTTCAGTTACTTGTAAACTTCAGTTATTTATAAACTTCAGTTACTTGTAAACTTCAGTTATCTATAAACTTCAGTTACTTTTAAACTTCAGTTATTTATAAACTTCAGTTACTTGTAAACTTCAGTTTATAAACTTCTGTTGCTTGTAAACTTCCAGTTACATAATAAACTTCAGTTATTTAAAAATTGTTCTTTGGTTGACTAGAAATAGTAAAACATGCAATAATATAAAATATAAATAGAGCTTTGTTATGACAAGATCACATTGAAAACAAGGTAATACAAGTTATTTTCTCGTTATTGAGGTAAACTTCAGTTCTTTTTTAAGAAGGAACATTTTAGTATTTGCACAATTTCACAATAATTCCTAGCACATTTTATCCCTCTGACTACACATTATATTAATTCCTAAAATTTCATTCGAAATTGTCAAGTAAAGTTTCAAATAAGTTAATGAGTTATATGGCAAGTGTTTACCTTAAAAGGTTTCCTTTTCTTTTTGGCGTTTTTCTTCATGAACCAGACAAATAACGCACCAACAAGGCTTGAAACACCTACACCGAGTGAAACACACACAACAATTTTCACCACCAATGTCATGTCATGTAATACTTCCGGTATGATGTTATCTATAAATAGAACATAATTAGTTTATTCCTGATCACGATTTTAAAAAAATATATACTTGCTCATCTTTCAACATGGTCTACTCAGAATTCATCATTTCTAGGAAAAATTTCAAAACTATTTCCGGACTGCAGACCAAGATAAGACGCTCCAGCTGATCTTGGTCTGCACTGGTCACATGGCTTTATTCAGTTGCCGTCGGAACACTAAGAGTCAAACATTTTTTTATCTCGATTGTTACGAACGCTTGATTATTTTAACCATCCTCGATTCCGAATCCTGGAATTAAACAGTACTGCTGTTATATTAGAAAACATAGTCGTAATCTCAGTAGAGCTCGAACACAGGGCAGACTCCTCCTCTGTTTGGAACGTAACTGATATTTTACTGAATATTTTTTGTTGTAAAAATATATATTTCATAAATAATTTTCTTTAATGCCCGGCGTTTATACCATGTTATCATATAATATCAAACATTCATGAACCCAGATATTGATATCAAACCATATTGTACTCCTACTAGCCTTATTTTTTTCCTGTCTAAAATCTATATGAAATTCTACTCAGAGTAACAAAGTTCTGTCAAATTGTTCAAAAAATGTGGTGTGTTATAAAATGGCAGCGCCTTGTCCAATATAGGTTTTACAACCTTGTACATCCAGGATTACACTCAACAATGTATTATAACCTGACATTATTTCCTTTATTGTAGTTTATTTATTTTGCTGTCATTACATTCATACATTTCATATCAATGCACATGGGTTATTATATCTAAGACAGAACATACTTTCACATAATGTTTTACCAAATAATATGATTTTTTTACAAAGTTTTTTCATAATATGTTTGCTGAGTACCAGACATCATGCTATTGTAGTATGCAGTTAAAAAACTTATTAGGATGAGACATTATCCTGTCCAATATAGGTTTTGAGGTTGTGTACAAGTCAAATAAAATCTGTATAGTATTCAACAGTGGATAATGAAATTTTTATTTCACATCAATTTCATTTTTATTTCAATTCTTAAGGTGAAAATATATTACATTAAAGAAAACACTCAAAATGTGTTTGGTATTATAAAAAGGGGACATATATTTCGGATCTCATATGGACTGTGGACTCTGAATATGAAAACGAGGTTAAATGGAGTACAATATGCATTTGATACGACATTTTGGAGTCGGGAAATGCAAACAAAAAGAAAAGAATCTTATAATGATTGAAGTTTGTTGGTTACATTTTATTAGATGTGAAATAATTGTCTTAACTTCCCGCTGTCGAAACAATATCATATTTGTTTGTTTCAAAGAGAAAAATAAAAACGTATTTTTATTCTTACATTTTAAAAGAATATTATATGTACAACATAAATTAACAGTAAAATACAATATATTTGCTAATTTTTTAAATGATTATATAATACAATGTAAAAATTTACCACAATCCAAACTTTCAAGACTAAGCCGCAGCATGCTGATATTGTATGGTAAATTACATGAAATATTGTCTGATGCTGTGTATGCCTGCACAAACTGTATCATCCACTTCAGAGAACAGTCACATGTCCACGGATTTCCAGCCAGCTGGGTCTCGTTTTCGTGCCTTTATATCACAATAAAAACAAAAACAATAGTATCATCATCAGTATCATCATAATCAGCAGCAGCAGCAACAGCAGCAACAACAGCAGCAGCAACAACAACAAACGTTTTGTACAACGTTTACAACAATCCATCTCCACTACATTATGGATATTAACATTATGACTTTTCTAACATAGTATTGCTGATTTCTTTTTCAATATTGATGTCTTTTAGCAACCAAGAGGTGATTTATAAAAAAAACCATAGAATTTTAATACATGCACCGTCATTTTTGTTTCTATGGAAAAACAACAGCTAAAATACAACATTTTATTCATACACACTAACGAGCAGTTTCCTGGATTCATTAATTGACCAGTACATAAGATTGCCCATAAGTTTTTGCCATTTTTTCTTTTATAAAATATCGGTAATATCGGTGACCGGCAAATAAGACAATAAAAAAGTGTCGTCATCTTAATTGTAAAAACACGTGTGTATTAGATTAATGTTCTATTTGATAAAATTTTAGACCAATAAATTGTATAATTCGATCCCTTCGTATTTCCAGAATAAATATTTGAATTGTGAAAAATGATGCAAAATTGAAAAGCGTTGCAACTGGTTGTATTTCTTTTCTATCTTTTGCATATCTATTTGTTTAAAGCGTCCCAAAAGATCTATATAAGAAATTGACATTTTATGTTTTAGGCCTTTGGACCACAGTGGAGTTCCTTTAAGACCGAATAGCTCAAAGAAAGATGGAATGGAAGTGCAACAAATACAGACATGTAATCATTATAACCACGATAAAAATATTGACAAACACTTTCATCATTTTAGGTAAAAAAATCGTAATTTAGCGATCAGTATAGGCGATAATCAAAAGATGTAATTTGGACAATATACATGTACATGTACTCCTATGCTTAAATCAAATTTTTTATTGAATCTTTGCAACAGTATTTACGGAATAGATACATCTACCACGAATGTATAGTGTTTAATGGGCACGCTCTGAGGTCGAAATAGATATATCTAACATGAAATGAAGTATATGGTCAAACAACTTTCCCTTACCTTACATTCATTTCTAGGATTGGTAATATATCAACATGTATTGTTGTCAGATTGTTGTTTGTCAGGTATCTAAAACAACAACAATAGATAGCATTAAAATTCACAATCTAATTTAGGTTAATCTTGTTATAGCATGCACAACAAAAACAACAACAACAAAAATTTCACCTGCCTTTGAACATTTGTAATGATCTCTGTAAAATTAACAACAAATAAATTCATATTATACGATAAAATCAAAACTGGAACCGGATCCAACTTTAGTCGTTTATAAAATATGCTTGAATTATTTATACGGGAATTCAAAAAACTCGGGTGTGAACAATACCGTCAAATAGCATAAACAACAGTAATGTTTCATAGAAAATGTATCAAATCTCGTTTAAATATTCTAATGCTCACTGGCAGAATTTTGTTCACTCGATGTTTTATCACACCATAATAGATGATACCGGATATGTTAACTGGTTGATATGTTTTATATCCGAACACTAATGACGAATTAGAGAACGCCACTGGGAATGACAAATGATGTTATAACATTTCATAAAGCAGCCTTCAATAACGACAGACCCAAGAGGTCAATAAGTTCTCTCTCTCTCTCTATCTCTACTTAAAAGGAAATTGTAAATATTGATAAAATTTTTAATGCACTGAGATTATTCAACATGTATTGTATTTAGCTTTGTTGTTAATTTATTCCCATAAAAAACAATTAATAATTCCGAAATTTCCATTTTGAGGTGAATGGACAAATGGCATCGCCGTCATTGTCATTGAACTTGCTGACAATCCGAGGATATCCAGCTCATTGGTTCTACTGACATGTGCCATCATGTGCCTGGCGTGAGACACTGAGTTCTTCCTTAAACAGTTAAAACTGAAGAGTCGTTATATATGACTTAACCCTTTACCGCATGAGCATTTTATGAACATTAAAAAAAAAAGAAGTTCAAATTGCTATGAAACTGTCAAAAGATGCTTCAATATTCATCAAACTTGGCACAAATGTTGACTGGACCATAGTCTTTGTAACGGCATGCTCAATCTTAAATTTTCTGTTACACTGGCAACGAAGTGAAATCTCAAAAGTCACTACTATGCGTTGATTTTTTCATCAAAACTAATTTCAAAGTGCTGCAAATTCTCGCTGGATTGAGACAGAGTCACAGGCTTTTCAGCGTTGGTAATACGTTACTTTCTGATCGACTTGAGGCCAATTTTAGCCTCTCACAAGTCAAAAATCTTCTTGGCGATGAGGGGGGCTGCTGCCCTCTTCAAACCCTAAGCAGAAGAGGACACATCCCTTCTGGCACCTCCGTGATATATCTTTTTGATAGAGGATGGCGCCAAAAAAGTAATACCTTTTTTAACAGCATTTCTCAAACGAAAACAAGTGTTTGGTGTCTAAATAGGGCATTTCTTACCCCTTTGGGACCTCAAAAGGGGGGGGGGGTGAAAAGGCGTGAAAATACGTAGGTTCAAGACTCAAAGCCCGGCAGAGACCAATGGCATGGGCAGTTATGCACACAATCTAAAGGTCAAGAAATTAAAGATATGAACATGAACAGTATTATGTACTTGTAATCTTTTGCAGATATATTTGTTGTTTGCAGAAGTATGTTGCAACTAATGTTAGCATTGCTTTTTTTCTGATTTACCATCATTTAACACTCATTTAACATACATGTAGTTTACATAATGTAAAAGGAAATGGACATAGTCATTACAATGTTTTATATTTTTGTATGATAATGTTATACTAATGTACTATATACTTATATACAATAATATTATAATTATGAACTATATACTTATGAACAATAAAATTATAAGTATGTATTATATACTTACAGATATTCTAGGTTAGGTAAACGACTAAATACAGCTGGTCCTAGCTCCACTATCTTGTTGTTGGAGAGTTCTCTTTAACAAGATACAGAGGAGATTAAATAAAAATAATGTATACTTATATAAAACATATAAATATATATTTCCCAAAAGCTTAATATTATACATCATAAGCATGAATGTCAATATCTCAAAGAGTTCTTCTTGAATACTTTGTTGTTAATGTTACCAATAAATATATGCAAGCATGTTTCTCGATGTTCAGGTGTTAGCGTTATAGGACCGAGTGTCACAGACAAAATGCAAAGATGTTGTCCGAAGTCATTACTGTTTTCCACAGTTATGGTTAGAAAATGAAATATTTATATAGTAAATTTCGGCATATTGTATCATAATTATTGGCGATGAGAAGAACAACCGAAGATTGTCATAACAGTAGTTGCCCGACTTTTTATGTATGGAAATCGGTGATTTTTTGGTTAAATTTTGTTTTCAAGCGTTAAAAATCATTATTTGAACTCAGATAATTTGCAGATTTACTATTCATAGTATACTTTTTTTGATATTATTTTTTCATGTTTACATTGCTTTTTCCTTTAAATACATTTTTCTGGATGCTTTAGAATGGTTTTGCTATTAATAGATCACTTTGAATATATTTTGATAAAATTTGCATAAATCAGACGTGCTTCTTTGAACAAACACCTTTTGAATAATATTATTTATATATAAATATATGATAAATTAATCACTTACAGATAATACACCTCTGGTAAACAGTTGAACACAGATGGTTCGATCTCAACCAGATCGTTGTAGGAAAGATCGCTTTAAAATGAATAAATTAAACGAAAAATATAAATAAAATTAATAAAGTAAACGAAATATTAAACAGCGTTATAAGTAATATATACGCTACAAAAATAGATAGTTCGGAAATGTGTTTGTCTTTGTAACAAGTAAAACTGGGGGAATTCTGGAAAGAATACAAGGCAAGTATATTTTTATATCTACATGGTTAATAATTATAGATATACATGATGTATTATAGATTTGTAAGTAACTTACATTTCACCTAGATAGGTTAAATTGAAGAAGCTGTTTTCATGCAACCTTCTCAGATGGTTGTGACGAAGCGATCTGGAATTTTAGTAAAAGGAACAGATATGACCAACGTGTCGTGAACGACATCCGCATATTAGTTAAACATGTTATTGTAATAGATAGAATTTAGACAATATAAACGTATGCTTAAATCAAATCTTCGCAATAGTATTACGGAATAAAGACCTCTACTACGAATGTAAAGTGTGCAATGGGCACGCTCTGATGTGATTTTAGACACGTCTATAGAATTTAGCAGACGACACTTATTAATTGCTATGCTTGTCTCTGGCACGAGTATATATAGGGTTTCTAGAAATATAGACGTTTGCGTAATTTCATGGTTACTGTTTACCTATTTTTTATGATCACTTCTACATTTCCACTGTTTCATGTAATCACTGTAATACTATGGTCACTGTTGAATTACTTCATGATCACTACATTATCACTGTTTACATGTAATCATTATATTGTCTCTGTTTTATGATATAGAGGATATTTGTTTGTTTCAGTGTAAGATCGAAAAATATTTCACCGAGTGAACACCAGATGCAATATTTTCCACGAGTGGCGAGGCCACGAGTGAAAATATAATAGCTGGGGTTCACGAGTGAAATATTATTGATCTTACATGTAAAACAAACAAATTTTCTGTTTATTTCATGATTTTTTAACGATTTTAACACCATTTTACTGATTTTTGCCGCGTAACGTCATGCTGTTATCTTCATGACGTCATCAAATAATGACGTCACAATGTTGAAGCAAAATATAATTCCATGATTATTTTTAGATTTTAGATGTTTTTCAGCACAACGTTCGTAAATATTTACGAACTACAGTTATCACGTACATTTTTTATTATGATTGACTACATTTCCGCTGAAAAAAACATTCATTAATGATAAATATTTTATTTTTACGCCAAATATTGTTCGGCTACTGTGAAATTATATTTGGTAATCATTACTGTGAAATTATCAGAATATAATTAATCGTTATAATTCAGTAATCTACTGCAAAACATGTAATAAAACTGCATAATCACTGTGTACTTTTTATAATTGAATGATCACTGTTTGTATGATTACTGCATAATCACTGTGTACTTTTTTATCATTGAATGTTCACTGTTAAGCTACTTAATGATCACAGCAATTATCATTGTTTAAATATCATCATTGTATGAGCACTGTTTAACTACTGTATTATCATATTATTGTATAGTATACAATACCAAGTACATGTAGTTATAATATAGTGATATTGTAATTATTGTATGATAACAACATGTACATACATTGCTACAGATTACTATATGAATTATGTATGGTTATTGTAAGCTCACTATATAATCAGTATTTTATCACTATGTAATCACTGTTCAGTAACCAAATAATGATTATATTGGATATCTAGCGATGTGATCACTTAATGATCACAATATGGTAGTCATGATTAAATTATGAACACTGTTTGTTTACTGGCCAATTACTGTAACTGATCGATTATTGGATATTCAAATGATAAATGGACTTTTGAAGTGGTTCGTGATTTAATTTTTTTTCCAAACTAATACATGTATTAATTTTTAATGCATTGGTTCTGAAGCCTCATGTATTATGTACATGTAATTGTATTATTACCTCATGTTGTCATGTTTGTATGATCTGAGTGAATAAATGAATTGAATTGAATTGTTTCATTTTAAATCATTATAAAGCCAAGTCATTCAATACAACATTGTTTTGAATGATTAGAACATTGTCGTGTTTTTTATAATAAACATACGCTCAAATTCCGTTAACTTTGGTCTCGTGTTTAAAAACATAAACAAAGAAGTCAAATCCGGCGAATCAGGCCGACCTTAACACGTGACTTTGACGCATTCGCAAATATAATTTCTGTGATAAGTACGGAACATTATTTCATGCTTTCCAGTGTTTTATTGTAATATATCAGATGATTATATTCTGATAAACCAATTTATAAAATATAATTTTCACTGTAGCCGGACTATATCTGAATGCGGATGAAAAGAAAATCATAACTAAATGGAATAACAGGCAGAAATTAATGCCGTCGTGCGTAAATTTTGCTTCTTTAGGAAAAGAAAGTCGATGTCATCATACATCATGTTAAAAACGTAACAAAATTAAAGAAATTTAACAGACCTATATTTCAAAATTGATTATGTGACGTCATGATGTGATGACGTCACAGAGGAGAATGCGTGACGTTACGCGGCAAAACCAGTAAAAAAATACTTAAAATCACTTAAAAAGCATGAAATAAAAAGAAAATTTATTTGTTTTACATATAAGATTGAAAAATATTTCATTCGTGAACACCAGCTATTATATTTTCACTCCTGGCTACGCCACTCGTGAAAATATTGCTTCTGGTGTTCACTCAGTGAAATTATATTTCAATCTTACATGCAAAACAAACAAATATCCTCTATATAACACGGTCTATATGTGATATCAGACTGAATATAAAATTGTTTAACTCCAAGTTGTTCTATTTACCTTTTACTCAGCTACTTACATGCTTTCAATATTCATTAACACCTCAAACGAATAAGCCTGCACTTCTGGAATGTAACTATGCCACATGTATCTGAAATTGAAGTTGGAAAAGTTATAAGGCCTTTTGAATAATACTGCACGTTTGTAACCTCGATTTTCATTGGATAATCGTGACATTTATACACGACTGTTATATCAAATTGTATTCATATTCAGTTTTCCACAAATAAAGAAATTATGCAAATATAATTCATGTTTCGAGTCCCAAAGTTCCTAATGAAATCCATAGAGAGTTTGATATCATACCGATTCTATGGATTCATACAACGCTTCAAAATCTGAATCTGTCTCGGTTAATTTCGCGCCTCGTCCAATATAGCTCGTACAAAGAATTCAGTATTGTACTCAACGTAAAATGTCAACAACAATCGTAAGCAAAGTACCCGGAGAACGAAGTGAGGATTACATACCACACACGTATTTCTATTAAATATTTTTGGTCTGTGGACATATTGTCTTGTTTATTTTAAAAGGTAATGGACAATTTAGCAATAATTTCATATTTGAATAAATCCGAGTATGAAATTTCTCTCATAATAACGCCTGTGGTATTTTGTAGTAAGATTGTGTTACTAAAACTAGAAAGCCGATAATGGCATATAAGCACTTCTGAAGTTTTAACTTTTATATTCTCCCAAATGATGACGTTTCGCCTATTTTGCAGATATAAAGTTGTCGAGATTTAGATCACATTACTGCAGAATATCATTAATAATTCATTCCGTTTCTAAAATAATGCACGCCATTTCGGTGAAAGGAATGTGTGGGTTGTAAAATGAAAAGGAATTTCCGCCTATTGACGTTTGTTTTGTAAACCATTTAATCTAATGATTTTCATTTAATGGTTTTGAAACCTTGAAACTTTTTGTATACACTTAACGTTTATCGCTTCAGTTTCACAGTGGTAATACATCGTTAACAAGGCAGTCTGAATGATAGCTAAATCCCCTTCCGCAGCAGACATGAATGTGTACTTCTTGACCTTTAACCAACCATGACCTTGATGTTATGACATGCATATCATAAGCACATTTGCTTAGCACAAAAGTCTGTTTCAGTTATTGACCAATTATCTTCCATATTCAGAAGGATACCTTTGTAGATACTCTTATTTTGTTTAAGTTCAAGGTTATGGTAACCATGGGTAATTTTAGACTTTATATATTGACAAGTTTCTTACATACTTGGTTGAATCATGCTTTAGGCAAAATTGCTGTTCCGTTGGCTTTAGTAAGATGTCCTGTTTTAACTTATAATACTTTTATTGTGACTCTTACGTATTACTTGTTATAGTTTTCATGTTTAACAAACGATCCAGGTGATAATTACATGCCTTCTGGTTATGTTGTAACCTTGATTTTGGGTGTAGCCACCAGGTTGTTGCCATCTGTACGTGATGATAGTGATAATTTGTGCCAATATAATTACAAAATTTTAGTAGTTAAAAAGTTAAGACGAGGACACACAATTGTTGACTTTTATCATTTGACCTCTATGTGTGACATAGACCTTTGGAGAAGCAACCTGAATAATGTACTCCACACATCATGTGATTAGGGCAACCATTTGTGCGAAGTCATTTAAAAAAAATTTCAGTAGTAAAAAAGTTAAGAAGCGGAAAGGAAAATGTGGACTTGAAGCGTGACATTGACTTTGGAGGTAGCAACCTGGATGCACCTTGAGGGTAGCAAGTTATTTAAAAACCTTTTAATTGTCAATAAGTTATAGAGCGGACATGAAAAAATATATGTTTTAACAGTGGACCTTTGAGTGTGACCCTGGCTTTGAGGATAGTGACTTGATTATATGGTGTCATTATGGTGATCATTTCTGCCTATTTATCTTAAAAACATTGCAGGGAATAAAATGTTATGGAGCGGTCACGAAATGAAGACTTTTTAACACTTGACCTTTAAGTGTGACCTTGTTCTAGGGGACAGCACCCAATTATTGCACTCTGTACATCGTCTCATAATGGTGATCACTCGTGCCAAGTTATTTCATTTTTTTAAAGAGGTTTAGATGTTATGGAGCCGTCACGAAATGTAGACTTTTTGACACTTGACCTTTATGTGTGACCTTGACCTAGGGGATAACAACCAAATTATTGCACTCAACACATCGTGTCATAATGGTGATCATTTATGCCAAGTTATTTCAATTTTTGTAGAGGTTTAAAAGTTATGGAACGGACACAAAATGTAGACTTTTTAACACTTAACTTTCAAAAGTGACCTTGACCTTTGGGGTAGCAACCCATTTATTGAGCTCTTCACATCGTCTTATAATGGTGATCACTTGTGCCAAGTTATTTCAAACACATTTCAGCGGTTTAAAAGTTATGGTGCGGACACGAAAGTGTTACGGACAGGCAGACGTCTGTGCCAACATTTGGGGTTTATGTGCTTTTTCTTTGTTCTTTATGAGACACTAGTAAAATCACCATATATACCAGTCTGTTTCTGAAATTTCCTTCTTTTGTTACTAAGATTATGAACGGAATGAACCTTATAGACCATTGGATGTTTGTCCGGACATACGGACGACGGACGGTCTGACAGACGGAGGCCATTCCTATAATCCCCTTCCTGTTTTGTGGAAGGGGGTTTATAAAATCGTATCATTCAGGGACTATTTTTCTTTACATATAATCACGGACTTTTAACAGAATTAAAGCTCGTGATGTAATAATGTTCCATATCATTCTGCAATTATTTGTTATGTACATGTGAAATTGTGCATGCACATATAGACGGACTTGACAAAATAAAGTCGTCTTAGAGAAGCATGGAAAATGCGAAAAATATTACAAGCTAGTCATACTGGTGTGTACAGAAAAATGGCTTCTTACTTTTAGGAAATAGAATCAATTGGTATCTACGTATACTTACATGAACGCATTCATCTCTAATTTTGTACGATTTATTGTTTTTCATTTAAGTGATTCCAGTACTTGAAATAAACCCTTACCATGCTGTAACCGAACTAATGAACCATAACAACCGGTATAGAGCCATGCCAGCCAGCACACCAGTGTGTCTGATCCGGCTGATACTGTTACATTTTGATAATAATGAACAGTTACAAAAATGGGATTTAGATATGGTACAAAACCACCAATCATGACAGGCAATTCGCCCCCTTAGTACAGCAACGGGTTAACTCCTAAACAAATTGTATAAAGAGTTAACTCTTTACTGCACTAAGTGATGAATTATATAAAGCCTATTCGACTTACTCCGGAATTAAGAATAGTTTAGGTTTTCACAGCTAATCCGGGGGGGGCAAACAAATTTTTACAGCTACAGCTTCGAAAATAAGCAAACTACTGTGATGGGTAGTGCACCGTGAAGATATAACGGTAAAAATTTGTTTGTACCTGGTCTCAATCCGGTACGGAATTAGACCCAACCCGTTGTAGTCTAGAAAGTAGTTCTTTAAAATTTTGAAGTGGCCCAATTTAAGGCATCTCTAGTTAGATTGGTCATAATTAAAGTGTATTTATTGCATGTGTGTAGTTTTTGTGTGTTATATGATAACTCTAAAAGTTGTTTTTTGTGTGTTCTCCAGGAACTCATTTGTTGGCTGAGGATTAAATATGTACTACCCACCAGCAGTCAGGAGTTTTTAAAGTGGTGAATTTAAACAGTGTTACAACAGAATGAAGATATCTGAAATAAGTAGATGGCTAACCTATTATATTTTGGGCCTCATTGGACTTAGATAGTGTTAATGTTTAAAGTTGAAGACAGTATATAATTCATTAACAGTGGAATCCAGAATTAAGCCTCAAATGTGACTGATTTACTATAGAACAAAGAATACGAAAAATCACCGGGCCGAGCCATCTGGGAATTAGTTGGAAAAACCAACAGCTACCGAGTTCCGGACAACATCTATTAGACAGCACAGCTGGCCTATACAAGTAAGTGGCGCATTTAAGGGTAAAGTGTGTTGTCAGTGAAGTTTGTAACTTACGTACAGGTGTTTAATTTCCTTAGATTTGTTGGCTGTATATAAGTAGGTAATGACGTCACTCATTGTCATTTCAAGATTGGATGCATCTCTGAAAATAAATTTACTAAATTTTCATAAAAAAGAAAATGATTTATCAAGTATTACATTCGTGTTCATCTTTGCACAGCTCGGACATGCATTATACTGCAATCCTCTCCTGATTTGGTAAAATGAAATATTGTTTTCACCAAAAATAAATAAATGATTGAGTAAATAAATAAATAAATAAATAAATAAATAAATAAATTGAATATAGAAACAAAAACTAAATAAAAATAATAATATGTACTTTTAATAAAAATAAAACATTTCTTAGAAATGTTTTTATAATCAATTATTTGGGGGAAAAAACCGGGAACACAAATCAGCAAACACCCGGCTATAATCCTTGTAAGGGGAAATGTAATTAAATTTTAGAAAACCCAATTTTTTAAAAACTATACAAAACGAAAAACAAAGGAAAAAAGGGTGAGACGAATATTTAAAAAGGGAATTTACAAAACCCAATAATAAAAGTTATAATAAAAATTTTAAAATTTTCCTTCTCGGGAAAGAACTAAAAGTTAAAGTTTGGGTTTAAAACCACTGAAAACGTGACATATTAAACTTCACCAAAAACCAAAAAATTTATAGGCGCGAAATTTTGTTCTTTTTGGGCAGCGCCATTTTTATATCAAAAGTTTTTAAAATTTAGTTATATATAGCGCAGAAAACAAAAAAAAACCCGTATAATTTGTGATCAAATTTAAATCAAAAAGGGGCAAAAATTTATAAAAACAAAAAGGGTGCAAAACCCCTGTGGGATTTTCTGAAAATTTTCAACTAAATCGTACGGGATATCCGTATATTTTTCCCCGTATAAAGTTTTTTTTACTATAAAATTTTTAATTTGAAAACTAGGAATTTTTCATGACTAGAAATTTCATCAAAAAATCCCTTTATTTTATTTTTTTTTGAAAAGCCCCACTTTTTATTTGCAAAATCGTGGTACTTTCCTTTAAAAAAAATACTTTTAAAAATATTACTCTGACTGAAAATTTGAACCCCCGACTCTCGCACCCCAAAAAGGGTTTCCCTTTCACCAACCCACGGGGGAAATTTTAAAGAAAAAAAGGCCCGAAAAAAAATCAAAATAATTGGAAAATTTTCCCTTTTTGGGTTTTTATTTTCATTAATTTCGAGGTATTTTGTTCAAAAGAAAAACCCGTTTTTAAACTGATGTTAAAAAATTTTTTGAAAATCTTTTCGCCAAAAAAATCCCACATGTATATATTCCACTACTCGACAGTCAGATTTGTTTGTGTAATACGCTCTGAAATATTCGGTAATCGACATTGCTAAAAAATAGCATTTTTCATTGATTAAAAATGATATTCATCAGCGTAATTTGTGATTGTGCATTTATTGACAATTCTATAAGCCAACGCTACTTTTAAACTTTGAATGCGTTATAATTTTTTGGATAATTGTAACAAAATAAAAATATTTCTTTCTTTTACATCGCTAGTTTTAAGCTGTTTTGAGAACTACTTGTTGTTAGGTTTGGCCAGAGATATAATGTCAGCATTCTGCGGTCCGAAAATACAAAAAAATGGCAAATATGTTATTACTAATCACACATTGTATCTGAACTGTTATATAAATGTCATTTAATTTGGGTGTTTAAATCATTTATTCGTTTCCCAACTCTGTCACTGACGCATTAATTTTTATTTCATTATAGTAAACCCCCCTAATTATCTTTTTTGAATAAATCAATAATTGTCACAAAGTATTGTTAAATTTTTCTGTTTTCCCCAATCCCTTTTAAATTTCTTAAAACAGTGCAGAATGTATTAAGTCCCCATTAAACGTTTAAAGAAATACTAACATTACATAATTTTGATAATTTTAAATTTTCAGGCATACTTAAACCGCCGCGATTTCCCTTTTGCTAGTCGGGTGTTTCCCAATGAAAAAAAATTTTTAGGAGAATTGCACAAATGAGGGTAAGAGGGTAATTTTGGGGCGTTATTTTAAAAACTTTCTATTTTATTCAGCTGGACAAATACTTAATATTTTATGGACTTGTCCATATAATCTAGAAAAACCATTTATATCTTAGGGGCAATTTTGAAAATGTGGTACTGATAGAATTAGCGAAACAGTGCAGACCATGAATCAGATTATATGTGTTCGATATGGATTTTTCCAACGGGTTAAAAACAGTACTCACTGTACGAATCGAAATAAACATCTGTTTCCAGTAATTAAATGGATTTGTTCAATCCAACACGCAAATGTTTTTATTGCACACAGAATGTTTAAAGTGGAGATACGAGTGCATTCAGTCGGATCTTTGAACTGCATGTAACACTTGAAAAACAAAACCTAACCGTTTTAAAAATGCCCCCGCGTTTGCGACCAGCATGGGATCAAGACCAGCCTGCGAATCCGCGCAGTCTGATCAGGACCATGCTGTTCGGCTAAATCAGTTTTCTCTACTTTTATAGGGTTTGTTAGCATGGATCCTGCATCAGCTGTGTGCGCGGATGCGCCGGCTGTCTGGATCATGCTGGTCGCAAAGCATTATATTGGTTTTGTCTGGCGCGGCTCCTATTATCAATAATGGCAAGCAGATGATAAGGGCTTGTGTTGCATTAATGGTTTAAAATATCCGGTTGAATGTGAGCTATTTATTTATCTAGCTTGACACAATGTAATTTACGTTAAACCATATTTTGCAACAATGTGTCGTTATAGACATTATTTATCTATTTGCTGGGATTTTGTCACACTGACTTTCTACGAAAGAGTCAGGTAATTGTGGTTTTATGCTTTTAGAATATGAGCCGCGTCACGAACAAAACAACATAGTGCGTTTGCGACACCGCGATGGATCCAGACCAGCTGCGCATCCGCGCAGTCTGATTCAAGGATCCCATGCTGTTAGGCTTACAACTCTATAAAAGTAGAGGAAAACTGATAGCGAACAGCATGGATCCTGATCAAGCGCAGGCTGGTCTGGATCCATTGCCTGGTCGCGAACCCATTATGTTGTCTTTGTCGGGGGGGGGTTGGGGGGGGGGGGGGGGGGGGGGGGGGGGGGGGGAGGCGGGGGGGGGGGGGGGGGGGGGGTGGACGGCGGTTCATATGCAGAATATGTCAATCTCTTGGCCTATATCGACGCATTCTATTAAATACCGATTTTCTTTATGCAGGTTGTAGTTCCACGTTTAATATTTTTCTATTGAATGACTTTCTATATTTAGCATGTACATTTCCTTATATTTTTGTTTGTTCTTAAATTATCTGGATATCTGACACAAAAATGAAGATTTTTAAGAATTTTATATTGAAATCAATTAAAATGTTAATTAATAAGTCCCAAATCAATATGAATTCCAAAATCAATCAAATTGTAAATGAAAGAGTACGAAATCAATTAATTGTTAATGAATAAGTTCAAAATAAATGTTAATTAATAAGTGTGGTGGAGATTCAGGTTTTACACCAACATTGAAGACAAACTTTTTATTTCTTTTTCAATAAACACTTTATTTTTAATTTCAAACCTTTTATAAACTTTATAGTTCTTATTTTAACTAACATTAACAACCGTGTATATTCCAATGACTGTAATGTCGCAATGTACAAATGCTGTGAAGGGCGTGTTTTATATAGGGCTTAATTTTACCGCCAAAATGTAAAATTACAAGAAAAAGCCGACAAAGTGGAGAAAGTGTGGCTGGAGCAAAGCATAGAGTATAGTATTTTTTACCGCCTTTTTGATTTTGGCGGGAAGTTATTATGTTACAAAGAACGCGGAGCATAACATATAGCGTCATTCATTGAAGTAATAAAATAAAATAAAGAAGAATAATCGGTGTATTTTTCACGACACTCCAGCAAGTTGGGAGGCTAAGGGAAACAAAAGATCGGTACAACTAAGTAAACATGAATTGATATCAGGTCAATTTACTATTCTGTGTAGGGACCAACTAATCATTAGCATAAAATACTGTTCAGTATGTATTAGTTCATCTCCTCTTCATAGGTATACACTACTTAGCTATTTACGCATGTATGATCTTACTTGTTCTTATGTTTTCTGGTAGTCAACATTTAAAATTTCAAGCATATCATCGTTTGTCACACTAATTTCTTCTTGCTGTCGCTTGTACTTCCTGTTTCAGCTGTTCTAAGATAGAAACTTATTCCTACTATCATTTTCATAATATACTTTCCAATTTTGCTTTGCTGTCTCACTTTCTACTCGCCATATTTTCTCTATGTCAACGCATTGTATCTGTTTTTGTGCTTGTTTTTTGTCATCTTTCGTGAATTTTTCTCATTCTTTCTTTTTTTCATTTCTTTTCATATTATAGAAGATTCACCAGTAATTCCGCGCTAGAAAATAGCTTGAATAGAAAGTGTTTATAATTTCATTCATCTAATCATCTGGATTAATTACAAATTCAGTATTCACTCTCTGTGTCACTTTTATACTTTACTTCTTCTACCTCTTTTCTTTTACAGCTTTCCAATCCTCTTTAATTTTATGACCATCACAATTATTTAATTCATCACTTCTTGAATCACTTTTTGAATCTCTGTCAATATTACTTGAATCACTATTTGATTCACAGTCATCATCATTTGCATCACCTTTTACATCAATCACTTCACTTTCTTTTTAATCACTTTCTTTAACAACACTTTTAACATTATCTTCTTTATTACTTTTACTTCAAACATTATCATCACTCTAATCGCCACTGGAACCACCGCTTTCATCATTATTTGAATCACTATCATCACTACTTGAAGAATAGATTGATCATCATATCATATGTAAGCCTTTATATTTAGCACAATTTACATCATAGAACACATAAACACATACTTAATATTAAGGTTACACCAGAGAACAGTTTAAATAATAGCTTAAATCCAACAACTGTCAAGAATTTATAAAATCAAGGACACAGTTAGACGCAAATAAATCGTTGTTCAATGTACTGTTCCATCTAGAGAACTTATAATCATTACTTCATTTGTAAATCTTCT